GTAGGAATTCTAGGTTTACTTTCCTCGGCTATAAGACCAAAACAATATCAATAAGCAAGGTATGAAAGTATGTGTCCGGTCACACACTAAAAAAGACTTAAAAACTTGTTGGAAATTTATGAATCCAACAGTCCACAAGCACAAAACAACAGGTAGCACACACAATGACTTCTCAATCAACTATGGGGAGAACACTTATCTGTTTAAAAGCCGATACACAAAGATCTTTCTACTTAACGCACGATGAAACCAAAACAAGCCATTCACATCTGCAACACACCTTACAACATTTCAAAACTTGTTCCTCTCACATTTTCACATCCAAGAGAGGAACCTTTCAATGGCATGGAAATGCACAACCCACGGAGGCCGCCATGTTGGCCTCACACATACAGAAAGGAATATTTCTTGATGAAATCAGCACTAACAAAATTAGGGTTTCCGTCTCTGTTTGTTTTTTAAAGATAGCTATTTCTTTAAAGAAGAGAGGAGAAGACAATAAGTAAATCCGTGCTCTGACACCATGTGAATAGTACTTGTGAACAATATTGTGAATAGTACTATGAACAGTGTTGTGAACAGTAAAAAATATCAAAACTAGAGAGAGAAAGGGAAAAAAAGAGAAGAGAGAAAAGATGAAAGAGAAGAGAGCAGAGATGCATGAGATTCAGTCATCCCATGCCCCACTAATATCTTTATAATGTTTCTTGAGGGTTTACAAAGGACAAAAATACTCTTTGACAAAAATAAGTATCCTAAAGCATATAAAAATGACAGAAATGCCCTAATACACAAAAGAAATCATTCTTTAACATACCTCGTTTTCAACTTATAGTTGACTATCAAAAAAGAAAAACCATAGTTCAACAAGTTCTACGCCTGTTAGATTCAAGGAAACATGCTACCTAGCTACAAAAATAGTTCAACAAGTTTTATGCATGTAAGATTCTAGTAAACATACTATCTAGCTACAGTATAGAGGAAGAAGGGGAAACTTGCAATTTCTGGCAAGATATCTTGGTACTTCGCTAATTGGAGGTTGAGGCTTTATGGAATGTAATGAATTGATTTGCGGATACTAATCGTCTTATGGATGTGATGTAGCATCATGGGGGATGGCTCTTACACGAGTAAGTTTGGTGTGCTAGGCTGGGTTTTAGGGTGATTTGTTTCTGGTTGGGGGAAGGCATGGCTAGTAGTGGTTATGAGAAGAATGGAATTCGGATGGAAGAATGGAAAATATCTCAGTTTTGATATGGAATTGACACCATCAGAACTAGGGTTTGACCTAGATTTGTATAGATCATCAGTATGAAAAACTAGGGAAGAAAGCTAATATGTGTGGCAACGACACCGTACAAAGGATTAGGGTTTCTTATGGAATCGAGCTTACAGAAGATTGGGGGACTTAGACTTGCATGGAATCAACGGCATACAAGACCTAGGAAGAGAATCTCAAATTTGTATAGAATGAGCACCTTGTAAAGATTATTGCTTCATGTGCACCACAAGATGGGTTGACGAGACAGCATCTCATTGATGGAATCCCCATACATGCATTTTAGTGGTTTGTGACACCTAATCCTGATTTGGATTGGACTCTAAGCAATCCTAGGCTACTAAAAATTAGGAAACTATGCAACATCTAGAATTAGGAAACAAGAGCACCCATCACAAAAAAGAGAGAAGGAAACGCATACAAAAAGAAAACTAAACCTCTGCAACTGAAACCAAAAAGAAAGAGGAAACTCATATAAAAAGGAAACTAAACCTTTGCAACTAAAAAATGAGGTCAATTCCTATTAGCAATAAAAAAGGAAAGAAACTAAACCTTAATACTCAAAGAAGGAAACCAAAACCTTAAAATTCAATACAAGGCAACCAATGAATGAAAAAATGGCTGCCTTGCGGCCTAGGAGGCCGCCTAGGCGGCTTTTTTTCAAAAAACGCTTTAAAGTAGTTCCTTCAAGGCACCTGCCTAGGCGGCATAAAAGGGGGAAAAGGGTTTTGGGGGCCATTCTTGCTCCCAAAAACATAATTAGTGAAGTTTAGAGTGAGAAAAAACTTAAAAAAACAAGATTTTGAAGATTTGTGGAGAGAATGGTCACAAAATTAACAGATATTCATCCTCAATCTTTTTGAGGCTTTTAGTGGCTGTAAAAGAGGAGATTTGGGAACCAAAACATTTGGGTTTGGCTCGATAGATTTCACTTCAAGAAGGTTGGTATATTTCAATCGTTTATATTAGGTTATGTATTTGTTTTTTTTTCACAATATCTGATGATGTTATTCTTTGCTATTTGAAATTGTTTTGTGATACTTTATAATATATATTTGATATGTAATTGACTATTTGCATTATTATATTCCCATTTTGATACGTACTTTGGGTCTTTGGGAAAGCAATTCAATAAAAAAATTTGTGGGCCCCAAATCGAATGAATAGTGCATTTTTACCCCTTTTTTTCAGTTGTTTTAAGGTTGCTTTTGAGTTTTAACTATTTAATTTACAGTCTAAAGCCATAAATGTTTATGTTTTATATGTACTTTTGACTTTTGCTTTCTGAACAATATATTATATAGAAAACTTACTTTTTAAATTAAAAAAGTCATTTCTAATACAAAAGGATATGCACTTTCCCAAAAGGCAGGCCGCCTTTGTCTCTGGGCACCCGCCTAGGTGGCCCAAAGACCAAACCGCCTAGGCCGCCGCTTCCATGTTTTTGAACATTAAAGGCAACTAAACTTAAAATTTGATTTCGACTGCTCGCTTTTGATCATGTCTTTTTTAATCTGTTGACCATTGTATAAAGTGTAGTAAACAAAATTACAAAAAGATAGGCATCCCCCATACTGGGTGCCATACACAAAAAACGTCAAAGGGCCCAAAAAATGATATAAAGAAAACTAGGTACAAAAAATGGGGTCCTATGCGCTAAAAAAGGTGCCAAAAATCCCCTAGGTGGCATCTTGTGTTAATCGCTCTTTAGCGAGGGTGTCGGCTGCTGCGTTGGCCTCTCTCCAGGTATGTCTCCATAAGATGCGCATAGGCCTATAAGTATGAAAAATCTCATCAAGAATATGGTCCAGCCTCCAAAGGCAAGGTGAGGATCTGGATGCCCAGGCAATAGCATTTTTGGAGTCACCATCTACGGCCAGTTCTGGGCTCCAAGTGGGATTGAAGTTCCTGAGGCCTACAAGTAGAGCCATTGCCTCCATGGTGTTAGAATAAGTGTTGCTGATGAAACGAGGGAAAAAGAAAAGAGTACAGCCGTCCTTCTCTTTGAAAATGCCTCCGATACCAAATGGGCCTGGGTTGCTGGGGGAGCAACCATTAGAGTTCAGCATGGACTGGTCTGGTTCAGGTGGTCTCCAAAGGGAGGGATTCTGGTGGGCCTCAGGTTCATCAACCTGTGCAGGAGAAGTGCTCAAAGGATCTGTGATTTTTAGCCCAAAGGGTGACGAACGTCACCCTATACTTCAGGGCTTCAACTGTAGCCCTCTCCCCCCGGAAAGTCCTGTTGTTTCTCTCAGTCCAAATGGCCCACAACATGGCAGCCACTGAAGGCCGCCAGAGGAGGATGGCCGACTTAGACCATGGTGGGGAGGAGCAGGCAGCAAGAGGTGTGGGATCGATCTCAGAGTCGCCCACGACTAGTTGAAGAGTTGGAGAAGGATCCTCCAGAGAGATCTGGCCTAGGTCGCAGGGGGATGAAAAGGCGTTCACTGGTTTCTTCCTCCACTGTGCACATGACACATCTATTAGGAATATGCAGTTCCCTTCTTTGAGGCTGGTCGACAGTCAAGGCTCTCTCAGAAAGGGAAATTCAGTTGAGGACCTAGATTTTGGGATGAATGAAGGAGAACCAGGCTTTTGCAACTATGGACGGGGGTGCTGTTGGTAGGGTGCGTGGCAAGGTGATTTTTCGGTAGAATGAGTATACCGCATCTGGTCATATGCTTTCAAGCTTAAATACCCAAACATAAAAAATCATAGAAATAGTAGTTGTGCATCTTTGAGAGATCTTAAAATAGAGCTGTGGAATGTGCATCAGAAGCTAGATTGCGTCAGTCTTGATATTGCCTTGAACTTGAAGTGATCACTAATTTATGTTAATTAGTGGCCATAATTATAATCACAGAGCTAGGTTAAGTCCTACTTACCTTCTTACTTTCCTAGGTACCTGTTAATAAAATAGTATTGCTGTGAAACTCAAGGAATTTAATTCAAATTTGGGACTGGTGCTTACTTGTTAATTATTTGTTTAAATTTTTTAAATGGCCAACCAGTTTTTAGAAAAAATTTACTCGGCGAAGGTACTCGGACCTTGGCTGAGGCGAGTCACTTAGGTGAGTCCTGAGTAACTTGCCGGACTGCAGTGCAAGTTTTTTTTAAAAGGGAAAACAAAATAAATACTATAGCCTGCTTGACTTTTAACATATCACGTTGAATGTTTTATTGGTTGGGTCGTCCGCCTTTGTACGCTTCGTTTTAAGAGTTCATAGGTGCGATTTGCAGTAGCACCTTTTTTTTTTCTCCCAATTTTTAAGCCTCTGTTCTTTAACCGTAAAAAAAGAAAGAAAAAACAAGCGAAAAAGTGAGGTCTAAAATGTGTGTAGACTATCCAAAAGGCCATTCACGCATTTTCAATGTACAATTGACATAATAAAATATATTTATATTTAAAAATCGTTACAGCCTACTCGGATAAAACTTGTCTCACCCTTAGGGTGAGGTCGAGTAATTCGGCCAAGTCCGAGTGGCCTCGGCTGAGTCTTGATACATTGTGGCCAACCATTGGAAAAAATGAAATAGCTTTTAATTGTCTTTGTCCGTTATATTTTTAGGCTTACTAAGTTTGAAATTCTTCATGTCATCTTTTGATTTTACATTAGAGATTAGCGAGTAATTAGTAACTTGTAAGCTGCTTGTGTTTTCTCCACGCAACTTGAGTCGCTTACCTAAGGTTCTAATATCCTATTATGTTTAATTATTGTAGGAACATGAAATACTCTGTCTATGATATTTTCGGGGATATTTCTGAAAAGCAATTTCCGGGCTTCAAGAAGGTATCTCACTAAAAGAGTAATAGTTTTGCTGCTACTTGTTCTTGCATTTGTTTATGTTTGTGTGCATGTGTGTTGTTACTTTCATTATCTAAACCTATTCACTTATGCAGACAATCTGGTTGGAGTGTACACAAAGCCCAAATGAGGTTATTTTTGTGCCTAGTGGGTGGTATCATCAAGTTAAGAACTTGGTATGCTTCTTTTCCTTGTTTTGACACATTGGAGGTTTCATGCTTCAGAGTTGAGCACAAGCTCAATTTCTCATTTCTTTTGTTGCATCGACCTTGCCTTTCTGACGTGAAGCTGTATTCAATTTCTTTTTCTTTTTGTGCATTTTCAGGAGGACACTATTTCAATTAACCACAACTGGTTTAATGCTTATAACCTTTCTTGGGTGGTGAGTGTACTGTAATTAGGCCTTGTGGCAAGCAGAAAAGTGAGTTTCTTTTGTTTGATTTTGGAAAGAGAAAGGTTAACTGAAACAATGCATATGAATATGGTCACTTGAATGAGTAGAAGATGGTATTTACTTGAATTTGGTAGAAAACAGCATGATTATAGTTAAAAGGTGGGGTTCTTGTCTGCAGTGGGACCTTCTAGTGAGAGATTACATTGACACAAAACAATACATAGAAGATATCCGTGATATCTCCGATGATTTTGAAGGCCTCTGTCAACGAAATCTAGCAGTCAATACAGGTGTGTATGTGTGTGTGTGTGTTTCTGGACTTTTAGTCCTTGTATTTTGTCAGCCTTGTTCTTTGTTTTGCAGGCATGAACTTCCTTGATTTCTTTATTTTCATCATGCGGATTACTCTCGTCAACCTAACCCATATGTGTTCTCTTGCTCAAAAGACAAGAAAGCTCGACAGAGAATCACTTAAAAGGAGCAAACAGACGGTCTTTAACTTGATTTCCATACGCCGAGTTGCAGCAAATATGGAATCAGCCGAACTTTTTGACAGAAAGAATCGAGAAAAAAATTCACTTGAAAATGAATGGTTTCTTGATTTCAGAAAAGTGTCGCGGCATCCTTGGTTCCTCAAGCTAAGCATGTCACTATGTAGAACAAATGAGATGGTTGATAGGTTCTTAAAATCAAGTTCTGATGATTGTGCCGATTGTAAGTCTTTGGACTTCAGTGAATTAGGAAGAGGATCAGGTGAGCCTTTGGACCTTGATTTTTTGGAGAGCGCATTGGCAATTCATGCTTTGGAATATAATTTCTTGGAGAGGGAAATAGAAGCTGATACTTTAGACCATGGTTCGTTGGAGAGAGAAACAGGAGCTGATACTTTGCGATGTAGTTTCAAAGAGAGAGAATCAAATGACGATACTTTGGTCCGTAGCATTTTAGAGAGGGTATCAGAAGCTGACAGCTTGGGCTCTGAACCGAACTGCAATGGTGGCAATGGCCAAGGCCATAATTACTCTATCATGGGTCCTGGAGATCTGGTGAGAGTTATTGATTGTTGTTTACAATGGGTGGGTATAGTTGCCAAGGATTGTAACATGAGTTTGCTCTCTCAGGTGGATTGTTGAAAAATGCTTTAATTTCTTTAAAGTTTAGTTCATGTATGAAATAATAAGTTGGATTTCTCAGTTCAAAATTGTTTTAATCCATTTGAAGTAGAATTTGTTTGAACTGTTGGTCTGGTTATTGATTCATCTGGAGCAGATGGGTAGGAAAAGGATTACCATTGTTATCCCTAATCGTTGTGATAACCCAAGAGCTTCTTAAGAGTTAGTATGTACTGTTGACTATTTTTGAATTGCAAGCCAAAAACATAGCGAGGCGAGAGCAGTTTATCTTTTTTCATTTTCGAAGCTAAAAATCTTCCGCATCAAGGCAAAAAGCAGCACTCGCATAAATTTGTCGGAATTGATTTTCCAAGGTTTGCTTTTTGGAGAAGTGAAAGAGGAAACATATTTCAAAGGAATATTGTTGGAGTTTTAGAGAAGGATTGAAAGTGCTTTTTATGGAGATAGGGGAGGTGCTCGAGCATGGAAAAAACTTTCGGTTAATGCTAGGGTTAGGTTTTGATGAAGGGGTGTCAATCTGATCTTCCACGGAAGTGTGAAGGAGAGAGAGATTGATCTTCCAGGGAAGTGTGAAGGAGAGAGAGAGAGAGAGAGAGAGAGAGAGAGAGAGAGAGTTAGAGAGAGAAGGATGAAAGAGAGTTGAGAAGTAAAACTGTCCAAAGAGGCCCACCTCCAATTCTGATAGATATAGGTAGATTATACGAAAATCACCCAGTTTTTCTTCTTCATGATTTCAATTGGCTTAAGAGTTGTGACAGGGAACGGGTTTTCTTTGTGTGAAGCTCTAGATTCACCCGTTTCTACACACCTCGAACATCACCAATTTAAAGCCATTTATCTTTTTTTACTCTATTAGTTTCCATGTTTTAAAAACTGGATCAGCCAGTTGGATCGGCCACCAATGGACCAGTCCGGATTAGCTAGATGAGTGATATGGATCTTTGACCGTTTTGGGCCGCACAGAATCGATAAATAAAAAAGAGAAAAAATAAAAAATCATAGTAATTTTTTTTAAAACAATAAATGTTGTTTGGTTAAAAAAATAGACAATCACAATACTTACATTGATGGTATTAACGAAAACACCAAATACTGAGAGCATATTTCCTATATGAGTTCCACACTTTCAATACAATAAATCACAATAATGACATCGATAGGAATGATCAAATATCTGTATATAGGTCAAAACATATAAATCTAAAACCAAAGTAAACCATGAGATGACTCATATAAGTCAGCCCAATCTCTATCGACCTGATCACTATTGAGTAAACTAACAGGGACGATTTTGCGGGTTTGGGATCTTGAGAACCAGGCTGATTATATCTCACCCTATTAGTTCATGAAAGAATCCGACAAACCTCCTTCCAACTCAAAGTCCCCAGGGTTGGTCTAGCCCTTGTGCTTGCCCCACCCTGCTGTTGATGGGGCTCAAGCACATTCTCTACTATGTGAACACCTAATTGTTAGGATTGAGTGGCCTCCAACTCAACATCATCGTCCTTCAACTCTCTTCATAGGTACTAGCTCACATATCTCCCTTGCTCCTCATTTTGTGGCATCCTCCCTTGTTGGTCACATTCTCCTTCTTGCTGGTTTTCACCTTCTTCTTCTTCCTCATCTACTGCTTTTAGATTGTTCTCTTGTCAAACACTGGCTCTTCCTTTTTCACTATGTACTCATCAATTGGGTCCTCCATAAATAGGTGATCAAGGTTGATCAGGCCATAATCATTAGCATCCCTTCTCAACTGCCATTCTTGGACATTCAAATTGTAGTGCATGGATGGCTATATATTGCTGGGAACGAACTCTAGGCTAATAGACGCACACGAATACAAGTTATTCCTTGGGATGAAAGAATTCCGAATCAGCTTTGTCCATGAAGAAGGAAGCTACAAGCAATGTAAGTATGAATCTCATGGAAAGTTCTATCTTGGCTCAGGATGAACGCTGGTGGCATGCTTAACACATGCAAGTCGGATAGGAAGTGGTGTTTCTAGTGGTGGACAGGTGAGTAACGTGTAAGAACCTGCCCTTGGGAGGGGAACAACAACTGGAAACAGTTGCTAATACCCCATAAGTTGAGAAGCAAAAGGAAGAATCCACCCAAGGAGGGGAAAAGCTATTGAACGTAGTAAATATTTTTTGCTTTGGTATAGTTATTCCTCCCATTTTGTTGAGATAAAGAGAACGTATTCCATCGTAACTTGTTCTTGCCAAGAAAAAAAGTGCAACACCAATAAATCCATGAGAAGTTTTTTGTAAAATGGCCCCATTGAGTGTAAACTAGCTTGTGAAGCTTGTCCGAAGTCAAAGTTGTTTCTCTAGGCATGCATTAATTGGAATGTACTCCAGTTTTGCACATCCCCTTTAGTAGAACAAGTTTAACTTAGCAACTTGATCACTATGGCCAATAAGTGGGTTGATTATAAGAAAGGTCTCAACTGGTATCAAAACTAAAAGGATGAGAAATGATGCATAAGAAAATTTACTTCACTTCAACATTTATCGTATGGATGGTTCGTTCATGATTAATTAACATATTTTTTTCTTTTTGTTTCATGGTGTACTAATCCATAATTAATTACTGTATGTTTCATGAAATCCTTGAATATTTCGTCTCAACTGGTATCAAAACTAAAAGGATGAGAAATGATGCATAAGAAAGGACACGAGCTAATTTTGGTCCATCTCAGTGTAAGATAATCTAAGAATATTGTTTCAAATGGCCCTTGTGCATCCCTATATGAAGGAAGCTGAGAAAAAGAATAAGGTTTATTGGATTAAATTCCACATATACACTAAGCAAAATTTCTTCACAAAAAGTTGAATCTTACCTCATTCAGACCTGCAATCTAGTTCCTCTTACTTCTCTGGAATGTTTATATGTAGTACTGCACCTTGTCCACGACTCTGGTGGGAACATTTGGCTTCACATACTAAGATTCAGGGTGAAGAAACCTAGATATCACAAACATCAAGAGAGTTTACAGTGTTTAATTACAATGCCCTATCATCAGTCAATAGTCGAAGGCAGAACCTTAATCAGGTTTGGTATAGGGCTCTAAATGACTGGACATTCTTAAGATCGGGGTTCATGCTCAGTGGCTCTATAAAACTTATTTGCAGCCAACATTGGAAGGTTGAATCCTATGTCCTTCCATGAGTTTCCTAGGATGGGGAAAGGACAGAAAGTCCCCATGACTTTGAACATGGAAAGACAATCACTCATAGCCAGTCACAACTTGAGAGCTTGGGATGCATTGGTTCAGAACAAGATAAGTGTACGTCATTGTGAAAATCTAGGCGACCAACACTCAAGATTCACAAAAAACGTACCTATTCTTCCTGTGCAAAATAGGTATGCTTCACGAGCAGGTGAGTTAGTTTCACAAGCAATCTATAGACATTTGGACCAGCAATTAGCTTAGGACTAACAATCAATGGAGATCCCTGTGAGGGACTGATTGTAAGAACATCTTATTTCTGTGAGAACAACTTACTGCTGTGAGTGGTCTACTTCTGTGAAAAACTACTTCGATGAGCTTCAGCAAGTAGGATTAGTTCTAAATGTAAGTACCTGAGGGCCTTGACGGTTTAGTCCTCAAAAGAAGAAAATATATCTAACACGGGTGGCTGGTTTAGAATTGATTATCTCATTGGGAAAGAAAGTCAATGATTACTAGCATGTCGAGAGGTATGATGCGTTGGGCAAGTATCACTTGCATGAAGCCTGATGAGGCCACATGAGGAACAGGGAGGAGCACTTGTCTGTTGCCTCCAAGATATAGAAGGACAAGGTTCCTCCGAAATGTTATATAGTAGTGTGGTGAACTCACTTTATGTACTTCACTTCTCAGACCAAAGAGGGTAGTATCTTGGGTCTGTTTTAGGAACTCTCTTTTGCTTTTTGATAGGAAAACGACTGGACCAATTGATTTATTCTTATCCCAAGTTGAATTTGAGTATAACGCTACCAGAAATAGAACCACATGGTGATGATCTTTTGAAGTAGTTTATGACAGGAATTCCAAGCAAGTATTAGAGATTTGGATAATTTGCATGATATGCAACAAATTAGCAATGATGCAGATGCTTGAGAGAAAGTCATTTGAGATATCCAGTTGGAGGTGGCATAAAATCTTAAAGAGGAGCACAACTTGTTATAAAAACAATGTTGACTGACATAGGCACAAAAAAGAGTTTAATAAGGGTGATTTAGTTATGATCTACCTATGGAAGGAGAATTTTCTTGGGAGCAGTACCATAAGCTGAAGTTTAGGCGCATTAGGCCTTGTTTTGTTCTGAAGTGAATGAGAGAGACCGCCTAAAAAGTGGAACTTCCGGCAGGTCATTACATTTGGCCAATATTTAATATTGCCGATCTATATGATTATCATGGTGAAAGTGAGAATGACAAAGGGATGGAGATTGATTTTCAGGACTAGTTGCCAGAATTCGAGGCTGCGGTGATTGATTTTGTGCTTGATACCAAAACTATTACCATGACAAGTGGATCATATAAACAACATTTTGTGTATTAGAAAGATAAATATGAAGCATAAGATTTGTGGATCTTGGAGACGGAGTTCGAAAGGGCAAACCCTAATAGTGGAATCAATATATCAATCAGAACCTGAAGGCGAGTTCTTCCTTTAACTAGAGGAATGATGCGATTCTGCTGATGTCATATCGAACATTTAATTTCCTTCTGATTTAATTTTTTACTATTCATGAGTTATTGTTAATGAGTTACAATTCATGAATACTGTTCAAGGATTATCGTTTGTGGGGATATTTTTGAAAATTTTAATATTGCTTAGGGATGGTGCAGAGCTTTTGAGGATTGTTTAGAATTTATTAACGGTTGGGATGTTTACGATTTTATTATAATCTAGGGTTTAAAAGGGTGGCTATTTAAACTACGAAAAGAGGTTAAAGAGGGGTTGTTGCTGTGTTTTTCATCATAGAAAGACTTCTCTCCAACTCCGCCTTGGCTAGCCCCTTGCTGGTCATGGTCGTAAGCTTAGATAAAGGGAGAAGGTTGTGTTAAGTAGGCAACTAACTTAAAACTTATCTGTAACTTTTCAAGAATCTT